AACCCTTTACTGAACAATCTACGCCAGTGGACGAAATAAAGGCTTCAGTTCGAAATTCCAATCACCTGAAGAAGGCTGGAGCATACAATGGCTGAAACATTGTGAATGTGGCAATAAAGATGAGGATAACAGTCCGAATAATGTAAATACTTTGGTCTTTCCTTTTAATAATAACAAACATTTTGACAATAAATCTTTGTTTTTATCAAGTTTGGGACCTTTTTTCATCATGGTATGCTCTTTTTTTTGACAAATTAGTGGAAGCACCTAATTTAATAGTAGTTTTTGTTTGTTGGTTTCAGAGAAAAATAGAAGAGAGAAATAGAAACACTAAGACACACCATGCCATGTACACAGGGGCAAATCATTTTCATTCCTCTTCATATTTCATTGGTAAAAAGGAAGTTCCATTCAGACAGTCTTCTTCCCAAGAGCCGCTGCTTTGTGGAACAGACACCTTACAAGAATGTAACCATAAATTTAATAGTAGTTTTTGTTTGTTTGTTTCTGAGAATGATAGAAGTGTTAGAAATCAGAAACGGTGGAATGTTATTTTAACACCAGTAATCAATTTCAGAGTGACCCTGAGTTCTTTCTTCTTCTCTGGTAAGACACCAAGATGTGTGACAAGTCTCTTTCTCCTGTCTTTGCTCTTCTGTAGTTACCTAGTTGAGACCCCTCAAAAGTCCTTCTCTTGTTCATTCTATCACACATTTCAGTATGTGCATGCACCTATTCAAATTGCAAATGTTGAACTAAGCATACACAGAATCGTGGTCTTTTTGATTGCAATAAGAGTGTTGAATATTCGTCACAGGAAGAGAGAAATAGAAACAGTAATAAGGAAAAGAGAGAATACATGATGAAAGAAAAAGTTAATGTGAATGAATGCTAGTGAATTTTGGTTTGTTTACATGTTTCTTTAGTCCAGGTACGTATGGCAGAGAAAATAATGAAGAGAAGTGATGAGATGGTTCATCTGATAGAGCAGTATGTTATTATAGGTGAGAAAAGCCTGTAGTGATGAAAGAGGACCATTAACTATGCAGAATACACATACACATGCACTGGAAGCATAGGTTAAAAAAATAAAAATAAACCTTTATACACTTCCACTCACTATAAAAAGAAAAAATGAAGCAAGAAAAATAAATAAGCTAACAAATTTTGTCTATTAGATATCAAAAGGGAGGTTGAAATTTTATATTTTTCATTTTTTTTTTTTGTAGGTTGAGCAGAAAGCATTTACAAAAACAGAACAAAAAAAAAAAAAAATATTTGAGAACTAAAAACTTCTATTCTTTAATCAGTAAAGAAAACAAGATAAAATGCACACACATATGAAAAAAGTAAAAAGAATACTGACAATCAAATTAGTATCTGAACATTTTTTTTTAAGAATCAGGTAAATGTGTCAAGAATTTGTTTCCTTCCAAAGTAATTCCCAGTCATTAAGAAAATAATTGGTAAAATTCAGTTTCTATCAAGAAAAGAATGCAAAAAAATTACATGTGACTACCAGTTACCTAAGATTATAATGTAAATACAAATACAATAAAAAAAAACTTTGAAAAAAATGTGCTGAGGATAAAAGAAGTGTAGGGATTAACTAGATTCTTTCACTTTTATTGAACAGAAAGACTTTTCAAAAGGTGAATGCTAAGACAAGAAATCTTTTATATCTTAATTGGACTGTAGAATGATTAAATATGTTAAAAGTTTTCCTTACAAGAGAAATGAAATTATGCCATGTTCTACCTATGAAGTACTTCATAATTATCTGAAAATTCAAGAAGATGTAAGTAAAAAGATAAGAAGCTGACTTCAAAAGTCAACTTTTGGAGGTATGGTTTCATTTGAATGTTAAGTGGTCAAGGATAGAGATTGGTGAATCATCAAGTTATAGCAATTTACTAAGCATAGCTTAGATGTGGCACAAGGCAGAAAGTACAGAGCACCCAGTGAGGATCGAACTCACTACTCAGTCATAATTGTGTGATTTACTAAGTGTAGCTTAGATGTAGCATAAGGCTGAAAGTATGGAGTACCCAGTGAGGATTGAACTCACTACTCAATTGTAATTGATCTAGTGAGACAAGCTTGCTAATTATTATACCACGTCAAAGAACCCCTTATTAAAATATTATAACTACAACTATCAAGTATTTGTTTTATCCAATCAAAAGTATTGATTAATGAAAATATTCCTTTTTTAAATTTAAATTCTTTTTAGTAAGAACACTTGTTTTTTATGTACTTATTATAATTATAGAAACAACAGATTTTACAAAAGAAAATATTTGAAGTTTTTTTTTTTTAAATTTATGAAAGGATTTCTCTAAGTAATTATTGTAAGTCTCGTTTCTTAGTTTCTTAGTATATTTCTAAACCATGGATGATACCCTGAAGTGAAAAAGATGCTTACTCAAATAAGTAGGCATCCATTTATTTCTAGAGATAAAGGTAGCAGCCCGTTTAGTCAAAATTCAGTTCATTAGTAGTGAGATCTCTCCAGGGTACAAATCTGGGTGACAATATATGGAGGCTGTGTGTTGCCCAAACTACATGGTTCCGCTGTCACAGACAAGACCCAGAGGAATATGGGACATTACATTTGGCTACAGGAGGTGCTGGAGAGTTGTCACTATTGACAATCAAACACCTTCAAGGCTCCATTCCAGGTTTTCTGTATGGATTTACTTCATTAGCCTTTTCTATGTTTGGATATAACTGCAAAGCAGCGGAGGTTTAAAATCAGGGTTTTCCTTCCTTTAGATCGACTGCCCTCCTGGGGTGTCAAGCTCCATCTACACAAAATAACTCAAATAATCTGTATATTTTTTTTAACTGTTTTATGTATGAATTATTTATTTCTCCTGCAATCTTGATTAAATTACTCTAAAGACGTTTGTATAGTTTACATAAATACTTAGTGAGGTAAACGTTTTTTTTTTTTAAAATTGGTCACATGCTGTGAATATACCTTATATGTTTTTTATTAGAGTCTAGAATATTTAGTGGGGGTCAGAAAAATAAATATAAAAAGAGTATGCAGATAAATTTTTTTTCATAACAGAAAGATATTTATGGCAGCACCATCTGGATTATGATGAGAAACACTTTCTCTACATGCGACAGAATGCGCAACATACATGACTGAAAACTTTCTATACACTGTGCATTTTTATGGACCAATGCATCTCCATGAATATCCTAGGCTTGCTGAAGGATGTGTTATTTTATACAGTCATTATCTCTAGAATGGTTGCTAACCAAAGCTACAGAACCTAGTCTGTTCTGCTATTTAACCCATAGCTGGGGGCAGAGGAGTTGAATTTATACCTTTCCCTAGGGTATTTTCTCATAAGGGAATGTAAGAAACTTAACAGGAATTTGAACTCGGCTCTCCGATTTCTCATTCCAAGCTGAAAACCATTACATCACCTGCACATCCATTTGGATTATACCAGAGGGAAAAAAAACAAAAAACTTAGTATTAAGCATAAGCAATGAAGAATAAATGATCATTATATGATATTTTTAAGTACAAGCAAGGAAATCATACTTGCATATTTTTCAATTTTATTTTCCTTTTATATTAAGGTCTATAAATTTTTGATAATCCCATAATTGTTTTTCTTTCTTTTTTTTTCCCCTGAATTATGTATATCTCTATACATACAAGTATATTATCTCTTTTTTTTTTTTTTTTTTTTAATGTTGTTCTGTATTTTTTAAAAGCATGGAGAAAAAAATAATACTGTTGATTTTTTATTAAGTATTTTTTCTTTTACAGCTTACCAGTCCTTTATGAGATTTTTAAAGCTGAGACATACAGTACAGCAAAAGTAATGCCCTTTTTTGAGTTGAAAATAATCTACCCTAGGAAAATGTAGAGTAATTGAATGGACATCATGATGACCAGACCTAACACCACCAGACTTTTTCTTGTTGGGTGTAATGAAATATCTTGTTTACAGACTCAGACCAAAAATAAAAACAATTCCTGAATTAAAACAAGCAATTTCTGATAAATTTTATGAAATTAATGTAGAAATGTGTCAAATGGTTTGTAAAAGTGTTACTGATAGGGTTCAGCATTGAACATGAAGGAGAGCATTTTGAGCAGGTTAAATAATTTGTTAATCATAACAAATCATTGATGTGACAATGCTTATAAATTTTCTTAAACTATTGTCATTTAATTTTGTTCAATAAAAAAAAAAAAAAAAAAAATGGTATTACTTTTGCTGCACCCTGTATTTAAGATTGTAAGAATAATTCTTTGTTGTGTGTGTGTGAATATTGCATTGACATTTTTTAATATAAATGATTTTTCCAGGTACAAGTCCTAATATTCAACCCATAACTGGGGGAGGAGATGGATTCATACATTTCTCAAGGGTATTTACACATAAGTGAAAGAAAAAATAATACAAGGATAATTGTGGTCAAATTTTGTTTTCTTTTTAGTAAAATCTTACATTTTAAGCAAAATATTAAATTTAATAACATTTTAGTAATTTAACAGAATATTCTAACTTTTGATAAAATTAGAATTTAGGTAAAATTTAAAATAAATGGTCAACTCATTTTTCTTGTACAAACTGTAACATTTTAAAGATTTAATTTGATTTGATTTTTCTAAGTATATTTAATACACTTCCCTAAAAAAATCAAATTCAAAACATTATAGAGAGGGTAAAGCAATCGCTGGTTTGGGTAAAGTAATCACTGACTTAAGAAATTCTCAGAAAAGCATTAAGAAGATTTTTGTTTGATGTTCAGTACTAATAAGATGAAGTATTACAAAGAACACAAAATTAGAACATTTCGGCATGCAATGCACTTCAGCCAATATAAGACAAAAAAAAAAAAAAAAAAAGTCAGTGAGTCAAATAAAACACTTTATTGTGAATTATTTTTTCTTTTTGTCGGTAAAAGCTTTTAACCACAAGAAACAAAAAGTTTGCAGCAAACACTAAATCACACATGAATACCTGAGAATTCGTAGTATGTCCAATCCATGATTTCGTTGCCATATGATCCTGAAAAAAGGTGAACCCTTGAGTTTAGAAGTGAAAAGGAAGAAAGAATGAAAATCCAACCCATTATTGTTAAAGATAACTAAAAAATGTCTCAAAGAATTAATGGCATCAAAACTGGATTCATTCTTTTATGTTCTTTTATATCTGGATAATGATGATATGAATTTATATGAATAAAAGATTTTGAAAAAAAAATTCTGGAAATTTTTATATTAATTTAATATTTCTACATTATATAATTTAAAAACATTTAATTTTAATTTTTCTATTCACTCAAAGGTATTAATTTGAAATATTTTTATTGAACTTTAACTTTTATTTAACATATATTCATTTTGTCTATTAAATACATGATGTACAAAAATCATATATGTCTGTTATTAAATGCATAATATACATTTTGAAATATACAGAATGTGATGGGTAAATTGACGTCATTTTAGATTTTTAATTTTGTGTATGTTTTTTTTTTTTTTATTTTGTTGGCTACACAGTATAGTAGGGTCAGTTGGGAATTGTCTGTGAGAAAAAGAGCACCATGATGCAATTCACTTTGCCAGAAATTTGGAAACAGCATGCTGTACTGCTTGGCATTCATGTCAGAAGCACTAATAAAACATTTCAGTGTGTTTGTGTGACAATCTGGGAACAGTGCAGAGGATTCAGAAAGAGTTGGAGGAGTTTAATGGCTATTACGAAGGTACAGCAGCTTGGAAAACTCACTCTGATCATTCTGATAAGAAAAGAACTCCTGAATTTGCTGCTGAGGGTCTCAGATTCTACAGATGCCTACATCAAGGTGCCTTGAGGAAGTAGTGCTGCCCTGGGTCAACAGGGTGGCTGCTGGAAGACCCTATGTCTGGCAACAGTGCTCTGCACTATGCCACACAAGCAGGAGCACCTAGTCATGGTCATCAGACAATTTCTGTGACTACATCACCTCTTAGATCTGGTCACCAAACTCCCTAGACTGTAACACCCTTTATTATTATGCGTGGAGCACTGTTGAGTGAGAGACCAACAAAACTCCTTGTAACACTAAAAGGCAAGGATTATGGCAGCATTCACCAACTTAAACATGGAGATTGTCCAGAAGAGTTACAGTAGATTCCAAAGTTGTCTGGAGGCCATGGTTGAAGCCAATGGCGATTTTATTGAATAAATTTATTCTTTAGTATTTCAAGATATTTTTATGTAATTTTGGTAAATATATGTGTTAAAATCAGATGTGAGTGTTAATTCTCACTTTTGCATAATTTAGATGACAATTTATCCATTGCACCCTGTACAGGTAAAATAAAAATAATTATTGCATTAACCAGTTAAATTTCCATATAACATTAATAGTACCTTAATAAAGTTAGGCTTAGGAATCTATTTCCCACCTAGTATTATTTATTTTTTGTTAGCAGCAAAAGTAAATGTTTGTATCTAGAACTTATTGGGTGGGGGATAAAAATGTGAAATAATAAAAATAAAAAAAGAAGTGTAAATCTATACGAGTAAAGAATATCCCAGAGAAAATGGATTATTTTTATTAAGGAATTATACAATAATTCAGATGAAATTATAACTTGGAGTTGGAACATAATGAAAGTTGAGACATAATGAAAATTTTGATAAGAAAAAGTAATCAAGACTCCTTCAAAATACTCTAGAAAATTTCATTTAGTCTTCAGGAAGGATACAGAGTCTGTCTGGAAAGTAACGGTACTGGGTGTGCTTTGTGAGCTATGGTCAAAAGAGGGATAAGTAGATTGTGTTATCATCTAACATGATATCTTGGGTGTATATAACTGCAATCTTGAGGTTTGCTTCAGTGAAGTGTGCAAGATGAGGTGAGAGTTGTGGCAGGACAAATCATGGCTGCTTCACCATGCTCTGAGCATCAGGTAGTTCCCAGCTGAGAAGAACATCGCCGGACTGGAACAACCTCTTTATTCACCAGAACTTGCTTCATGTGATGTTTCTTTTCCACAAGCTCAACTGGATCATCAAAGAGACCTGTTTTGAAGGCATGGGGGCCATCAAAAAAGTTGTAATGATGGAGATGGGGGGCATCCAAGAAGAATCCATCAAGTAGTGAATAGAAGCATGGCAGAGAACAATGGAAAAGTGCATTAGACTCGAGTGGGATTACTTTGAAGAGGAAACCCTATAGTTGGTTGTTTGGAATTGAAATAAATTTTGTGATGCCAGTCCCATTACTTTTCAAACAGACCTTGTCTACAATAGAAATTTTATCAGTTACATAATATATAAAAATTCTTGGAAGAATATTGTGACATTTTGGCAGTGGTAAAAATTTCACAGTTTGTACATTTGTTAACATAGTGAACCAAACCAAAATTTCAAGTAGAAGAGTAATTTTTAATGTCAAAGAAAAATATCTAAGTACATTTTTTCCAGTCTATTTTACTAAAAGTTGACACAAATTTCCTAGCTCTCTAGTCAATGAATGAGCCACTAAATGCTTAAAAATAAGCCTACATTATAAAACCGGGAGTCATAAAACATAATTGTATCTATTACACTTTAACAGATAGTCTTAATATTAAGCATTCAGGTCTTGATGTATCTGATCACATGACCACTTTGTTATAAGCAATACAAATGGATTCCCCAAGAACTTTTAACATAGTTTTCCTGCTTTTATAAAGATAATTTTCTCTATTTACTTTTCTCTATATCCTAAAAGAAAATACTCTGAACATTTTTAACTAAGTTGTATTTGCAAGGTATTCTTGTTTTTTTAAAAATCTGTCAAAATATGTGTACATCTTATATCTATCCCGATGTTTAACATAATAAATACATTTTTATTGATAGTTATATAGCCTTTCTGGCTCCCTAATTTATATACATTCAAAACAGGGCTATATAAAAAAGACCAAATTCTCAAAAACTTCTACATATGTAAAAGTTTATTGAATAAAAATGGCCTTGAGCAAATGAAGGCTGTAAGACTAAATGAGGACCATCCTTGTAAACTAGTGCTATAGAATCATATAGAACTCTACCAAATAACAGGAACTATACTTGAAGACTAACAACAACAACCAATAGATATCACATGTAATTTGAAGAGAAAATAATAACAATAAAGATGTTGACTTTCAAACAGATTAGGAAGGAAATCCCCATCAGTACTGGAAGGAAAAATAACAGCTCATGGCAAGTAGAAAGCTATTTTCCTGAAATTTTTTTTTGAAAGAAAAAGTTAATAAATTTCAATCGACAGTAGTACACACTGTTCGGTCAATGATGCCAAATGTTTCCTTATAAGGAAACAGCTATTACCATTATAAAAACAAAAATACATAAATAAATCACAAATATAAGTCATGTATGTCTCAAGACAAAATGTATATATGTTATAAACAGAAAAGCTATGATGTTACCAGAGACAACAAGAAATTACATTGTGGAAATCATTAAACCAGATAATAACGATGATAACTCTCCAACAATGAAGGTTTAAAACAGCTGTATCACATCCACCCATTTTACTAGTCAGCAATAGGTCGCTTTCTTTCACCAAATAAATGCATGCAGACATGCTGCTTAACACTATAACAACACAGCTACCTAATACTGTTAGTACTGTTATTTGTCATGACATTGCCCTGACATGAAGGATGTCAGGTTGTACTGAGAAGGCATTATCTAAAGAAGCTTCTGATTAAATACCAAGTGTAGAAATTCCTACTTAACAGATTGTGACAAAGTTAAAAGCTTAAATAAACTGGCAGCTGATCTTGAAAATGACATTCAATCTGTTGTTAACTGGGGCCAGAAATGGCTTGTAAATTTTAATGCCTCCAAAACGAAGCTACTCTCCACATCATCATAGAGAACTATTTTTGCCCTTCATCAGTATGGCTGATGCTAACCTGCAGGAGAGCAACTAATTGCACATTCTTGGTCTCACTTTTTCTACCAACATGAAGTGGAGAGATTATATTGAATCAATTGCTAGGTCAGCTGCTAAGAAAGTTGGTTCAATGTGTTTTGCTTGACAATTTTTCTTGTGAGAATCCATCTTGCACATTTATAAATCTTTCTTTTGTCTGTGTATTGAACATTACTGCCATTTCTGGTTTGATGTTTCAGCAATATATCTCGAGATTTTTGATAAAATCCGAAGAAGGCCCTGACCTGTCATCTCGATTTCAGTCACTTTTCTACATATTTTCATGGCAGCTGTTCTAATGAGTTAATTGGAGACACATTATAAAGAAAGAAAGCTTGGAAAATGTATCACTCTCAAGGAACATTGAAGGGAAGTTGAAGAAAACATTAAATGACCTAATGCAATTGGTCTTGACTTCAGCCACTTTCCCACCATCGTGACATGGCTTCCCTGTCTTTTCTATAAATATTTTAATGGCAGTTGGTCTAATGAGCTTTCCTCCTTTATGCCTTGACTGTGTGAATTTAAGTGTACTACTAGGTTGGCAATTAGGTCTCATGGTTTCATTGTTGAAATAGGTAGGTGTAACTGTAAGTTCTATTCTAATAGTTCATTTTCTCACACTCTTCACCTGTGGAATTCTCTTTCAATTTTTTGCTTCATTGCTACCTATGATCTTTAAAAATTTAAATGCAACTCTAATCAGCATCTTCTGTCTTCTTGAAACCTGTTCTTTTATTGTCCTTTTTCCTCACTAAAGTCTTCTCATTGTCTTTCGCTGCTGGTAACCCCTTGTGCCTTAATGACATTGTTACCTTGCTTGGGGTGAAAGGATTAAAAAAAACTTCATGAAAATCACCAAGGGATATTCTTCAGGTATCAGTTTTTGAGATTATTGATGAAATACGATACTAATCATACAAGATATGATACTAAACTTATAAAAGAAATTAAGCTGATATAGATCTTTCTCATCAAATAAAAGTAATTATAAAAATTAAAAAAAAAAAAAACAAACAGCAAAAATCCTAATTAAGCAGTAATGATTTTATTAATATTTTGGTGTTTGCCATTTTTTTGAAGAATAACTTGTGCTATTCTATAAAAATAAAATATTCTTATATGACCTTGAGGAGTGTTAACATTGTGTAACTTTTAGCTGGTCTTAAATAACTATCATGGACTTTTTTATTTATTGATAAAAAAGAAAATATAAGGAAGATCAAAATATAATATTGATTCAGTTGTGGAGAAATAGTAGCAGTCCAAAGGACACAAGGAAAAGAATATCAAATATCAATGGTCTGCCATAATACACACAACACATGAGGTCTTTTCATGTCAAACAATGACTAAGAAATATGATTCTATGATGGGTCTATATCACAGCAAATCTTAGATGTTTACTTGAGGCTATGAGTAATGTCTCTGCAAACAACTTTAGGGGTTGTTTGGGGTCTAGTCATGCCGTGAAAAATGTCCTTCCCCTAATTTTCTACAGTACTTAAATGTTGCATAAATTATTTTTTATTCTTTTTCTTATAAATTTGTCAAGAATTACCTCTCTGCCAAGTTGCAATCATTTTTTTGTGTACAGCTACAACACTACTTTGAATGACATACATACTCATGTATGGTATTTAGGAAAATTAAAAACAATTAGGAAACATTCAAGGAAACCTGTTAACTACAACATATATTTTATTAGTTTTGGTTACTGGCTTTAACATTTCTTATGTTGATTCTTATCAGAACATACTGAATTGAGCCTTTCTTCTGCTATTAAATTACTGTGCAAATTAAGTAGTACTAAATCTGGATGCCATATATCAGGTGGCTTATTTTTCATGCATCACAGCCTTAATCAATTAGGACTCTTTCCTTTTTATTACAATTTTTCTTCTGACTTTTCCCAGCTGTACTGTTTGCAACCTTGGTTAAGACATTGTCCATAACATAAGTACACTATGCGATGAGAGTTTGTTGTATCCAAATTTGCTACTTTATTTGAAAGTAACAGTTTAATTTAATTACAAGAGAATGGATTAAAATGTTATACTAAAAAGCAACTAAACCCCACCCCAGAAAAAAAAAACCCAAAGAAACTATTCATAATTAATAATAAGATATATGCAATAATTAAAATTTTTCAAAACAACCTGTTATTGAACAAAACACATTTTACTCATTTTAGAGAACTCTTTTTGCCTTCCATCAATATGGCTGATGCTAACTTCTAGGAGAGTGAATCATTGCTCCTTCTCAGGCAAGTGTTTTCTGCTAACATGAAGTGGAAAGATTATATTGAATCAATTGCTGAGTCTGCCACTAGAAAAGTTGGTTCACTGTGTCATTCTAGATAATTTTGCTTGCTAGAATCAATCTTGCATATTTATAAGTCTACAATTTATCCAAGCATTGAACATTGCTACCACACCTGGTCTAGTGCTTCAGCAATGCATTTAAAGATTCTTGACAAAATTCAAAGAAGAATCTGTTATGTTATTATTCCTGACCTGGCATCATGACTTCAGTCATTTTCCGACTGTTGTAATGTAGCTTCCCTGTGCCATTTCCATAAATATTTTCATGGTAATTGTTCTGACGAGCTTTTCTCATTGATACCTTCAAAAATGTAAGTGCAGTTCTAGATTGGCAGGTAGGTCTCTTTTTACTGTTGAAATTGCTAGGTGTAACTGTAAGTGCTATTCTAATAGTTTCTTCTCTTGCACTTCTTGCTTGTGGAACTCTTTCACTTTCTTGCTTTCCTGTCATCTATGATCTTAAAAAATTAAAATACAATCCCAATTGTTATCTTCTGTCCATTTATTGTCCTTATTAACATTTTTTCATTTGCCTTAATTCTCAGTAACCCCTTGCGTCTTAGTGGCTTTATTGCCTTGCTTGAGTGAAATGATAAAAGGAAAAAAAAATTCTTATAAATATTGATAATATTCACAATTGGCTTAATTTTGAAAATGGCCATTGAGAGTAGATAAACTTGGTACATTGAAAATAAAAATAAATTAAAATACTAAACACAAAGACAAACTCATTAGTTTAATATAGAACTTATAAACCATTTTGGTGTTTAGTCCATATGAATGAATACTGGAATAATGAAACAGGAGGGTAAAAATTGGTTTTTAAACTAAAATAGAGATCATGTCTACCTAATGGGCCAATAGCTGTAAAACCTGAGTATAAATACAGATGTGTGTGTGTGTGTGTGTGTGTGCAGATATACAAGCAATCAGACAATTAAATATTGTAGAATGTTAGGAAAGAATAGGGAATCATTGTTGATGATTGATCATTGTGATAAACAAAGTTGTATTGTTTGAGTGGGCAGGAGAAATGAATGCTGAGGAAGAAATAAAATAAAAAGGGACTGGGCACAGGGGAGAGAATTAGGGGAAAAGTCAGCTAGCCAGCCTGCCTGTCTCAATCAGGCATGCAAAGCTATTTCCTATGCATCAGTGTGTGCCTTGTTTCTAATGAATGGTGATCAAGTTAAGAGTGGGAACGTAGAATTGCACACAGTAGCCTTTTTAGAACTATGAGGAATAAGAGAAAGAAAGATTAAAGAGAGAGAAGATATAAGGGAGAGAGAAAAAAAGCATGAAAAATAGAAAGTAGAGAAGAAAAAGAAAAAAGAGAAATAAATAGTTTTGTAAAAGACAAAGTTATTAAGATGATAGAGAAGAAGAAAGATATACAAGTGAAAGGAGTAAAGTGGTGGGGGGGCATTGATATTACATTGTCAATAGTTTAAAGCTATTGTGCATAAATTGGGGTGGGTAGAGGGAGCTTTTTATATGAGTTCATTCTGTGGGTCGGGCCGGTTGGTTGTTCAGTCAAGCCTGTGTCTGCAATGACGAGGCACTTTAGCTTGTAACAGGAACTCTTAACAAATGGAGATGAACAGAAATGACAGAATTGATAATTAGGAACAGTACACATGTGAGAGTGTGTGTGTGTATTTCCAAACACATATACAAACACACTTTGGTTGGAATATATGCACAGATGGGAACATATTTACTTGCAAAAACTCCGATGCATAGACACAAGTTACATACACACATACACAATATAGACAATATTTTAACTCACATACATACACACAGTGGCCAGCCGCCACAGGAAGAGATCTGTCAACTATGAAGGATTTTTGGCTGAGGAATTCCAGGGCTTCATCAACTAGAAGAGATTGATGAAGTTAAGAGGATGAAAGAATAGAGAAACAGAGAGGGTGGGGTGGAGCGCAAGAGAAGCGGAGAAGATGATAAGGCTGGAGAAAGTTGAATTTTTCTGTCATAGGTGGGTGGAGATGGGATGGATGTTGTTCCACATTTGGAGTTGATTGAGTGATGGGGAGGGGAATGATAGACAGGGAGGGGAGAAAAAAAAGATGCCTTCCCCAATCTGACACCCCTGCAAGCCTTCTTCACTATTTTTCAAAAGGAAATTACAGCAGAGCAAGTGAAACAATTTCAAGGAAGTTTAAACATGACACGGGATAGAGATTAATTATAGAAATATTTCAAATTTTTCAAGTATTTTTATTATCCTCACTCTTAATTCAATTTTTTCTTTAAAATCATGAGATAAAAAAAATCATCTAGTGATAGGTTATTTGAATTTTTTGTCTGAAAATAGTATAATTTAAAAGAATCTGATTTAGCTCCAAAATGAACTATTTTACTGCACAATTAAAAATAAAATTTTGATTTTGCTAAAAGAATAAAAGAATCATCATTAAATTATTGGAATAACAGAACAATATAGGCCCCAGTAACAGTTTAAGGAATAACATTTTTTGTTGCATTAAAAGAAAATTTCTCTTTTAGTAAAAAAAAAAAAAAAGAATTTAATAAAAATTACATAACCATTATCATATATTGAAAGTTATTTTGTTCAAAAAATATTTTGTCTTTTTCAGAAGTAGATATTTTTATAATTTACAGATACAGAATTAAAATTATCACATTTATGTGTGCAGGGTCTTGTCCCTGCCCAATCTACTAAAGAAGTATTCATATAAAATACAAATTTTATTGTAACCTAATTATGTACAATAATGGATCATATAGGTAAACAATTCAGATAGAAAAATTGAAAATAAATACAATGTATCTAAAAATTTGAGACATATCATAATAGTTTGTTCTTTCTTAAATCAGCAATGTTTTGCAGCAATCTTTAACATCAATATGAGATTTTTCTTGTTAAAAAGTTGAAGAATTTTAACACATTCAACATTATGGATGAAAAATAGTAAATTTTTATATAGTGTTATTTTTTTCTTTTTTTTTTTTAGACTTAGCATGAGCAAAACAAATTCATGGATTTAGAGGAAAAAAAGGCTCCAGAATGATGTAAAAATCCGTGGTGATTTTTCATCCTTTAATAGTCAGTCATGATTAGTTTAATTTGTAATGCATATAAATGTAGGTAGAAAAAAAAAGCAAATGTTAAGATAGTGAGGGTCACAGAGCACTGCCCAGGGCACTCAATCAGGCTTGATCCCCCTCCCATTGTCGGGTGGCTCTGTATGTGTGTGTGAGAAATCCAAATGTCTGTTGAATTTTCCTATTTTTGTGTTGACATTTTTCTAGTTTATGTGAGCATTTTCCAAACAACCAAAAATTCTAAGAAAAAGTCATTACCATGCCAACCCTGTGACAGAAAAGGCTGCAGTCAATTTGAAATGTTCTAGAAATTTTCATAGGTGCTTTTACTTAAATGCAAAAATCTTTTTCCTGGATCTTCACTTGTTACTGACAAGAGAATCTGTCATATATAAGGTATAATAATTTAATTCTTGGAATGGTCCTTTGAAAGCAATGTTTGCTTACCTGGTCACTATTCAAATCTGTCACCTTCAAATTATTCCCCTTGTTAAGCTATTTGCTTTGTGAAATGATGGTATCATTGCTAGAAGCATTCTTGGAATGTGTTTTTCATAATATTTTTCAGTAGTCACATGTTGCTATAAGTCAGCAAATCTGTTGTTTCAGGACATTTTAAATTTAGGAAATAGCCCCAAATCACAGGGGGGGCTAAGTTTGGTGAATAAGCTTGATGGCCAATTTTTGTAATGGATTTCTTAGCTAGGAACTTGCAAATTTCTAATGAATCATTTTTCTTGTTCCCAAATCCTGTTAGAATCTGCTGCACTGTTTTTGTATTTATATTCAGTTCTACTATCAGTTTAATACCGAATCTTTAGCCTGAGTGCACTAAGGTTAGAACTGTTCATATTTGTATCTGTTCTTTGGGTTTTGGGCTGCCAACATATTGTGTCATGTACTTCTCGCCTTACTTTGAATCACATGTGCTAGTCAAAAACACTCAATTTCATCATAGGATGTTCACCATAAACCATTTTTAACAGGGTTTACATTTCACTAGCACTTCACCAAATTTTCACACAAAACTTGATGTTAATCTGCTGCTTCTG